GGGGGGGGGGGGGGGGGGGGGGGGCAGGGGGGCGACCGAACATTCCATGGCCGCCACCGCCGTGCATGAACCGCAGATAAAATAAAACCATCAAAATCTTCCAATACTCGGCCGCCACCGCAGCGCATGAACCGCCGACTAAGACATGCAAATGTTCTTCACTCTGTCGTGAAAGGCGTCAACTGCTGCACAAGTGGTTCACACGCAGCAGAGCATGCTGTCCGTGGAACTCACTTGCACTCGGCGTAATGGCGGAGCATCTTCTGGGCCTGGGCGCACTTGGCGTTGCTGCACCCGGCGCCCCGAGTCAGGTGGCAGCCCCGCATGTGTGCCACGAGCTGTCGGGCAGACTCGCATCCCGGCACCTGGCAAGAGCCCCCCTCGCACCGCTGGAGTTGAGGTACCGTGCCGCGCACCCGCCGCCGGCCACACCAGCCAGCCAGTCGTAATACACACAGAACGAACGGGCAACCAGAAGAGAATTTGATTCACATCAGTTTTAGTAACGCCACGCTATGCATGCAGTATTTTTTGTAGCCATGCAAATATGAAAAGCTGCCCTGCAACCGCAACTTTTTAACCGGAGCGATAAGTGAAAAATACTTTTTGGGGAGTCCAGTCAGTCAGCCTGCGGTGGGCGACTGTTACGAACACATCGCGTTTCATCTGCAAGTGTTGAAAGCATGGAGTTTGCGTTGGTGTGGCAGACGTCGGGGAAAGTGTACATGATCACATGCCCCGTATCGCCAACCAGCCCCTCGGCAAATATACCCGGCGAGACCGTTGGCAGCAGGCAGATGGCCCACTGCTGAAAACCAATCCATTGTAAAGATAAAATTGACACCGAATTATCCTGCATCCATCCAACCCATCAGTACAGAAGAAGTGGTACTGCTCTTGGTCGGATGTATTCTGATCAAAGGCTGCTGTACTCGTTGTGCAGATATCCGAAATGTATCCAAGGATGGACAAGAAAAAAAGTTTCCGTAAGAGCGAGAAAAGGGGCACAATCCAACATTGCACACATACACATGCAGCTATGGATACGACAAGGCCACACATCCATACGCATATCTTCTGGTCAACCTTTCCGACGCTTCTCGTGTGGCGAGGGGTGGGTGCAAGATCTAATTGGAAAATAAAAGTGAGGCATTGGTAGGATATCAGGTGTACCATATCTTCGAGCCAAGCTAGGAACGACACGCACACACCCAACAGGTGTATCATACCACCATTTTTTGTCCTCCCTCACACACCCGCCGCAATGCTCTCTCCTTGACAAACTAAGCAACAAATCACGCCAAAACTCCCCCTTTCCTGGATCGAACCAGAGCGTAACATCTCGGCCGCTGGACTCGGGTCACGCATGCATGCGTAAATATTCTTCCAGCAAACAACTTGTATCCGAAAGATATTCTGCGTGGACAAACTTTTCGTACATCATATTCTACATGTATGTCCTGATGTGTCTATTCTACGAATTGAATGTGAGGTGTGTGTGAGACAGAGATGGCGCGATATGTTATGTATGCATGACGGTGGCACCCGCCCGGCGTGTCTCGTGTCTCCATCTCAACCGAACGTTCGGTTGATTGCATTTGCAACCCCCAGCCATGAGCGACACGACCGGCGTCGACTTCGGTCTGTCTGGGGTAGAACGGAATAGAGGCGGCGTGCCGCCAAAGGGCAGCGTACGCACAACAGGTGCACCACCCCAAGGCATGAACGGTGGTACGGGGGGGGTGCCAGATGGCCTGGCGTCCGGCCTTATACTTTTCGGGGAAATAATCCTGAGAATTGTACTTTCTGTGGTATATGAATATATATGGAACAACAAGAATTGGCGGGCGGGTAAATCAACCAAGGGACCCACGCATAATGTAGATACTTTCATCTAATAGATGTTTATTTAATTCCTGGATGGGGAGCGACACACCACCTACATACGACTAACGCTTTACCACTGGCACCGCAGCTGTCGCGCACGACAAATCAAAACACGGAAGGTACATAGACGTAATCTTGGGAGGGGGGGGGGGGGGGGGGGGGGAACAAGGGGGGGGGGGAAAACCCCCCCCGAGGGGGACTGGCCCCCCCCCCGGGTGGGAGAAAAAAAAAACCCCCCAAGGGGGGTCTTGATGGTCCCCCCCCCCCCCCCCCCCC